GGATTGGCAGGGTGTATGATAGCAATTGTTGATAACAAGGAAAGAAAAGCTCAGGAGCTCGACAATCTCACGTCCTCTCTTTGGGTGATCTTCTTTGCGAGCTTGTCTACGATGCTGTTGTCGCTCCTCTACAGCCTCCTGTATGTTGTCTACGACATCAGCGAAACGAAGGCATCGTGGTCAATAATGGGTGCGTATTTAGTTTTGGTCGTTGTAGTCTTCACTGGTTCCTACGTGAAAAAGCTGTTCCAAAGGATGAGGATTCCTCTGAGAGGCACTCCTGTCATTTAATTTATCATCAGTGCTGCTAATGAGTATGGGTACACTTTATATAAATAAAAGACTTAATTTTATAACGTGATAGATTTACAATTTCCTTTGTTACAGAGATTGTTTTTGTTTACTTGCTCGTTTCTCTCGCAGTGCCGTGGCTCCTTCAAACCTTATGGTGCTTCCGACAATGCCGAAAAGAGCTTAAGAGGGGGCTGCCAATGTCTTCATTGACCGCATGGATAAGAAAATGGAGGACGATGATGTCGCTAATGCTCATCCATTTCTTAGATACATAGAAAAATAGTGGCATGAATCTTGGGAGATTTTGATGAGGGGGTTTAAAGGTTTTAGCAGCTGCTCGTGGGCAATGCAGCAACACCAGGAGTGGGCGGGGCTCCAGTCGTGGAGGTCCCCGGCGGCGCCACCCAATGAGCGGCGCCGCTGGGGGGATGCCGGCCCTGAGATGGTGGCGACTCCCTTAGATCACGCTGGTTCTTTCTCTCCTCCCCCTCGCAGCCTCGCGGAATGGGGCGCCTTGATCCTCGCCACCCCTCGTCCACTCTCCAAATCCCACTTGACGCACCACGCTTACAAGCTTTGGTGCAGTGGTGCTCTTCCGATTGGTGTAGCGGTCGCCATGGATTCTCCCGCAAGGCCAGAGAAGCCTCAGCTGGTAAGATTCTTCTTCTTTTCTCTCGAAGTTCTAGACATTCGTTTGTTCTTGCTGTGCCTATAGGTGCATCCAAGGAGAGTTCCAACAGCCAAAGTTCTGGGGATATCTCCCAGCGTTCATATGATCCATAACTTGGCACACATCGAGCTCAACGCCGTGGATCTTGCATGGGACACTGTGGTGCGCTTCTCGGCGTCGGGTGGCGAGCTCGATTCGCAGTTTTTCGCGGATTTTGCTCACGTTGCGGACGACGAGAGCCGGCATTTCTGCTGGTGCGAGCAGCGATTGAAGGAGCTTGGTTCCAGGTATTTAGAAACTTGTAGTTTTCTCTTCATTTATCGTTTCTTTACCATAGTTACGGAGATGTTCCGGCGCACAATTTGCTCTGGAAGGATTGCCAGAAAACTTCTGGAAGCGTGGATGCTCGTCTCGCAGTTATTCCAATGGTCCAGGTGCCTATACGCTTCCACTTGAAGAGCTAAGAACTATTCTACCAAGCAACGAAAGTAGAAATAGAAGGAATGGCAAAACGGGGATCAACCAAAACGAGTTCTACGTTCTTCCCAAAGACAACACTGGTAGACCCGGATCAATGCAGATATTCGCAGCCCCATTCTTGCCAATCTCAGGGCGGACATGACACTCGCGGGCTTCGATGGTTTCAGGATCCAGAGGTCGGACCAGAGCGTTCCCTTTTTGGGCGATGGAAGCGACGACAGCAAGCTCCCTTCCGGGACCCTCTGTGTTCTCAGCCACAAAGAGAAGGAGATCATGAACGCTTTGGACGGTGCCGGAGTCCAGCCCACGGAGTCCGAGATCGCGCAAGAGGTGGCGGTTTTGTCACAAACCAATATCTACAGGCCGGGGATCGATGTCACACAGGCCGAGCTCCAGCCGCATTTGACGTGGAGGAGGCAAGAGAAAACCGAGATGGTGGGCTCGTGGAAGGCGAAGATATACGACATGCATCATGTGACTGTCAGTGTCCGGTCGCGAAGGGTTCCAGGAGCCATGACAGACGAGGAGCTGTTCGCTTCAGAAGAGGCCGAGGGAGAGGACGACGAAGACTACACCGATCTTCTAACCGAGGAGGAGAAGCAGCAACTGGACTCGGCGCTCAAGGCCGAGAATGGCGAGTTTATCGAGAAGGGATTTGACAAGGGTGGCAAGGACAACAGCAAGCTTCGCAGGCGCTTGGAGAACGGGGGGGATGATATTATATTGGACGGATTGCTCGACGATGATATGAGCGTAGGTGGTGCTTCGTCTGGCTCGGATATCCACAGGGAGGACAGGAAGAGCTGGTTTAGCTGGGGGAAGAAGAGCGTCAAGCATGAAAACGCAAAGAAGGTGGAGCCGGCAAGGAAGTCTCTCAGCGTAGAAGTAGAGCGGGGTGGCAGGAATAACAGCAGAGGTCTTTCGACAGGCGACCATCGAATTATAGAGCGGAGGACACATTCGAGCTCAAGAAGGGATACATGGACAAGCCTGCCAGGAAGAGCGTAAGCAGGGAGTCGATTCACAAGCCTGGAAAGGCTGGCGCTGAAAACGAGTACCAGAAGGGATTGAGGCCGGTGCTGTGGCTCACGCCGGATTTTCCTCTGAGCACTGAGGAGTTTGTGCCGCTGCTGGACATCCTGTCCAACAAAGTGAAAGCGATTCGGAGGCTACGTGAGCTCTTGACAACCAAGCTACCGACTGGAACGTTTCCAGTCAAGGTAAGTTTATTTTCTTTTCTCGTTTCTCCAGTTCTTCGGTGACCAAACTTTGTTTGTTTTTTGCTTCGTCTCAGCTGGCCATACCAGTAGTGCCCACCATCAGAGTCGTCGTGACTTTCACTCGCTTTGACGAGATCCGCGCGCCGTCGGAGGAGTTTTCCACGCCACTCTCGAGTCCTCGCCACTTCCAAGACGCAAAAGCCAAGGAGGGCGATGCTCCGCAAGCACAGGCATCATCGGCGAGTTCATGGTTTTCGTGGATGCGACCTCACAGCCAGGCAAGCTCGTCGGCGGTGTCGGACGATCACGGGCCCGACTTGGTGGATCCGTTTCTCATCCCCAGTGACTACACCTGGGTGGACGTGAACGAGAAGAAGCGGCGAGCCAAGGACAAGAAATCGAAGAGCAAGAAGAATAAGAAGCCTCCTCCAGCGCAGGGAGAGACAACGAAGGGCTAGTCTGCTTGCTAGCTCTCACAAGTTACAACAAACAAAGGCTTTTGGATTTATTTTTTGTAGGCGATTTACCACACGAAATGAAATTCTTGTGTTCTTTCTTCACTTGTTGTATAGGGTGGAACCATACGAATTAGCAGCGATGATGATCAGGAGCGTGATATAAGTGCCCCTCAGAGGAATTTTGATCAGCTTTTTCACGTAGGAACCAACGAGGATTAGAATGCCGACGAGAAAACACGCACCCATGGTCGACCACGATGCCTTCGCTTCGCTAAAGTCGTAGGCAACATAGAAGAAGCTGAAAAAGAGTGGTGTCATCATCACGGACAAGCTCGTAAAGAAGATCATCGACATAGAGAGCATGAGCTTTTTGGCCTCTAGAGCTTTTCCCTGATCGTTATCAAGAAATGCTATTAGACACCCTGCCAATCCAAATGCCGAGATGATTGAAGCGAGAAGAAAGTGGAAGCAACGCCCCTTTTCCACTGGTGTGGCATCCTTTTTGATGAGGGAGATCCCTGACTGGAGGCATGTCGAAGCCACAAAAGTGAAAGGCGTAATCAGCAATTTGGCAAACTTCAATGCTTCTTTGTTGGGGGCAGCATTAGCTTCTGCAATCTTTCCCGCTTCTTCCATTAAACTCAAAGTCCTTCCCCTGCAAGCTGCCGATTTTGTTGAGCGGGATGATGAAGTGCTAATCTGGATCACATGGCCTTGATCGACCAGCAAAACACATTATATATTCTTTAGATTCCGTGGAATGCCTTGAATCGGTATTTGCCGCACGATAAGCGACTTGCCACGACTTGCCACAAATAATCATATGTATACGTTTCTTTGTTTTTTTCTTACAAGTCAAACTGATTCTGGCATTTTGCTACATGAATAGCATTAAGGGAAACAAATCGCTGCAAACCGGCAAGTGTCACTTGATTTTACATCCAATAACCTACAAACAGTTTCTTTTTGTCTTGTTCTTACATAATCTTGCAAATCAAGTTCCTGGTAAACAGCTCGCTGGTGTTGTTCACGATCCAGGGGTGACCAAGCACTTGCTCCACTGTCAGCCTCCGGCTCGGATAAACCTCCAACATCCCCATGATCAAATCCTTTGCCTCGCTCGACACATCACTCCAATCCAATGCAAACTCCACATTGTCCACGCTTTTCAGCAATAACTCCACATAATCAGAGTGGTATTCAGGGAACGCCACCCTTCCGCTAAGGAGCTCATATAGAATGAGTCCGAGCCCCCAAACGTCCACCGCTTGAGTGTAGTATTTCGGCCATCCGCCCTCACCAGCCCTGAGAACGTCTGGCGACATATACCCAGGGGTGCCACAAAGGTGGTGCATCTCGTCGGCCCGGTCAGTTGCAACCCCAAAGTCAGACAGCTTCACCTCGTAAGGTTGCGCTGGATGCGTCAGCAAAACGTTTTCCAGCTTCATATCCCTGTGCACCACCCCAAGGTTGTGCATCTCCCTCAGCGTCTCGGCCAGGCTCTTGGTCACAAACGCCGCCTCGTCATCCGCCAGCCTCCCCACCATCTTGAGCCTGTCCCGGAGAGTGCACGAGCAGAGCTCCAAGATTAGGGATCCCCACCAGCGGCCCTTGCGCTCCTCCTCGACCATGTCGTAGATCTCTAGTGTACCATGGCAGCCATTGAGTTTGAGCATGATTTCCTTCTCTCTCTCACCCGACCTCTCGAAGCTCTTAGCCGCTAGCAACTTACCACCCATTCTAAAGCTTACAAGGTGTACAGTGCCTTGCCCTCCCTTTCCAAGCTCAAAACCCACATCGTACATCTTCCTCAACGACGACAGCTCCTCGCTCACAACCAACTCACCAGTCTCGACCGCTCTCCACACAGTCATGGCGAGATTAAACAACGATTGTTAGCGTGACCTAAAGGGAACTGCCTTTAAGTCTTGATCAAACCAGATTGAGTTATGATCAAGACTTGCAGACCTTTGCGGTGAATTCCACGACATAGAGATTGTTTCCTTTGCTCGTTTCTTTCGCTGTGCCCGTGGCTCCTTCAAATCTTCCGGTGCCACCAACGATGGCGAAAAGAGCTTGAGATCCAGCGGTCGAGCTCCCGGCCTCGCCTTGAAACTCGAGGCTGCTACCATCAGCAAAGGAGCAATGCGAGGACTGGAAGCTCCCCAGGCCGGTGTTTGCGAGGATTCCCATGTATGTCCCCATGGATAACCTGGTATAGCCCTTGGTGGAGACCGAGAATGGGGCTGCGAATGTCTGCATTGATCCGGGTCTACCAGCGTTGTCTTTGGGAAGAACGTAGAACTTGTTTTGGTTGATCCCCGTGTCCTTCTTTACATTAGTTATGGAGATGTTCCAGCGCACAATTTGCTCTGGAAGGATTGCCAGAAAACTTCTGGAAGCGTGGATGCTCGTGTCGCAGTTATTCCAATGGTCCAGGTGCCTATATGTTTTTTTTTTTCTGTTCTTTAGTTCTCCAACTTTTCTATTCGAGTTTCTCTACTGTTTCAGGAAGCTCGGGGTTTGGACGCTGGGCCGAGGCTGGTGGAAAGACTGAAGCAGCTCGGTGATGATAGAAGTGCCAAGATTGTGGAACAAATCTCTCAGGAAGAGCTTGCGCATGTCGCTGTTGGTGTCTCGTGGTTCCTGGATGTTTGCAGGAGACTAGAGTGCGATCCAGCCGCGAGGTTTAAAGGTGGATAAACTAGTACAGATCTTTTCTTCGATTTCGTGTCTGATCTCTTCCTTGCTTTCCTTGTTGCGAATGTCTGCATTGATCCGGGTCTACCAGCGTTGTCTTTGGGAAGAACGTAGAACTCGTTTTGGTTGATCCCCGTGTCCGTAAACAGGGACTGGCCTTGGAAGGTGTAGGTCTTGCACTGTTTCACAAGATCCAGATGGTAGAAATTCTTAAGATCTTGACTAGCAATGCAAAGCATGGATAAGAAAATGGAGTCTATACCTTGGAGGACGATGTTGATGTCGCTAATGCCAGGATGATCAAGAAGATCCCAATTCCAGAGGAGGCCATTTGCCCCAATGTGTAGAATGCTCTAGCCTAGCACTCTCCATATCATAGATAAATAGATAGATACCAGAGTACACGTGAAATACGTGAGCGCATCGATCCATTAACGCTGGGCCGAGGCTGAAGAAGGTCGGTGACGACGAGATTGTGGAACAAAACTTGGCAGGAAGAGCTCGTCGTTGTTTTCTCGTGGTTCTTGGATGTTTGTAGGAGACTAGAGTACGATCCAGCTGCGAGGTTTAAAGGTAGATAAAGATAACTAGTATTGCTCGTGTCTGATGTCATTCCTGTTTTTTTTCCTTTATATGGGAATTCAATTTTTTGTAGTCCACACATTTTTTGATATGCCCTGTGTGGTGCAGCTGGGACTATATATGGAATGCACAGTTCTATACTTGAGAGACTGAACAAATTATCCTCGACTGTTGTGTGCGTTCTGCTTCAATTTTTTTACGTTTAAGTTCATGGCAGAAGGGGCAACGGTTGCTAATTCTAATGAGGCTAACGGGAAAGAATCATTGAAGCTGGCCAAATTGCTGATTACACCTTTCACTTTTGTGGCTTCCACATGTCTCCAGTCGGGAATCTCCCTCATCGACCACAGTGCAACGCCCGCGCAGAAGGGGCGTTGTTTCCACCTCTTTATGGCTGCAACCATCTCCGTATTTGGAATGGCAGGGTGTATGATAGCAATTGTTGATAACAAGGAAAGAAATGCTCAGGAGCTCGACAATCTCATGTCCTCTCTTTCGATGATCTTGTTTGTGAGCTTGTCTACGATGCTGGTGCCACTCCTCTTCAGCCTCCTGTATGTTGTCTATGACATCAGCGCAACGAAGGCATCGTGGTCAATAATGGGTGCGTCTTTAGTTTTAATCGTTGGTTACTACGTGAAAAAGCTGTTCCAAGGGATGAGGATTCCTCTGAGAGCCACTCCTGTCATTTTATTTATCAGCTTTGCTGCTAATACGTATGGGTACACTTTATATAGATAAAAGAGGAGCCATTGGCACCTGTGCTTTATATAAAAATATTTTAAAACGTATATTTTAATTTTTGTGACTGTTGCATTCGCACTTCAGTAGTTTTTAAGTTGTTTTAAGCTTTAAGTATGCATTTTAAAACATTTTCATTCCCACCTGCATAAGTTTTTGTAGTAAAACTTTAACGTAAAACACTAGTGACTTTGCACTTGACTTACTTTAAAATGTCTTCAAAATAGCATTCGAACATGTTTTAAAATATTTTAAAATTTCAAATTCGAAATGCTAACCCTAAATTTCAATTTCAAATTTCAAATTTCAAATATTAAACTTGAACATAGCAATCACGCAGTTCTACGACGCCGCAAACATAGGAAGTCTGTTAAGTTCTCTTGGACCTTTTGTGCATCCTCCGGCCCACGCAAGTCTTGCTGTGGTTCTCTCTCAGCCACAATAGAATCCCCGTAATCTTCGAAAATCTCTGCTTCTTTCAAGGCTTGAATGTGTTTCTCCCATGCTTTGATCTCGGCATTGATGTTTGTCTCACCAACATCAATCAATAAGTTGTGCAAGATGCAACAACTTTTGATGATGTTCGGCAGGTACTTCGGCTTGATCCTTTTTTTTTTATCCAAGCATTTGAATTTCATTTTCAAGAGTCCAAATGCTTGTTCAATAACAATCCGGGCCAGATGGTGTTGCTGGTTGTACTCCGCCTCAGTCACCATCAACCAGGAACTTGTTTCAAATGAATAATTGAGAAAAAAAAAAAAAACAAACAGCTTATCTAAGTGAGGGATCATCAAGTGCTGTTGTAGCTGATAGCCTTTGTCTCCCACTAGGTATGGCTCAATCCACTCATCAAAAGCAAACTCCTGAGGAACTGTGAGTAATTCCCTCGCTTGAATCTTGTGGCATAGCCTGGAGTTTTGAAAAACCCTCATGTCATGAACACTCCTTGGGAAAAAAAAACCAATTAGATGTATAGAAGAAAAAAATTAAAAGTAATTACCTGGCCAACTTGCATAGATACTCAAGAACCTTTTCTGAGCATCACAAGATCACCGAGTACCGTTGCTTTCGATCAAAGTAGCCCTCACCATTCGGGCCAACTGGTGGAATAATCTTGAAATGTGTACAGTCAATCGCCCCAGCCACATTAGGGAGACGGGTCTTGGTGATTTGCTGAAAATCTGCCGCCACAGCTCTAACCTCCGCTGCTGTCTTTGGGAATCGAATCTTGTACCTGAGGCACTTGACGATTGCAGCAGTTGTCTGCACCACAATGTCATGTGCAGTGGCTTCCCCGATCCCAAACTTGTTAGACAGGTCGGAGTAGTCGGTGTTCTTGAACAACTTGTACAAGGTGACCCCCAAACGAACATCCACTGGCACCGCTCTTCTAAACTTTGTATCCTGCTTGCAGATTTCAGCCTCTAGAGTGTCACAAAGCCCGAAGAATGTCTTCTTCTCCATCCTCAGCTTCCGCTTCCATCGACCAGGGTCATACAACTCCATGAAGAACTTGCTCCATGTTGTCATACACCGCGGCTTCACCCACTAGAGACCGGTGTCAAGTCGCTTGGACAAGACTGCTTGAAGCTTGTCTTCGTCCTCCTCCTCGTCCGGAAGAGTTTGTGCCACTGGGGTCTTGTCATCGATAATGGATTGAAAAGCCTCCATAGTGAGAAACAAAACTTGCAAAATAAGCAAGATTACCTTGTTCCTCAATAAGGCATCGATGACTGCTGCTTGATTGTTGAAAGAGCCATGTTCCTCCTAAGCATCTCTTTTGTTTTCCCCGGAAGCATCTTCTGTTTCCTCAGGTTGAACTGTTGCAAGATCCTGAAAAAAAAAATGGTTAGAAAAAATCTAAAATATCATAGCCTAAACATAGTTTAGTTTAATATTAATAATTAACGTCCCCCTAAAATCCCGAAAACAATACGGCTAACTCCTGGATGTAGCCCCGTTCAAGAAGTTGAAGATGGAGCTTGCAAGGTTGGAGATGGCTCCAGCTAAAACTGTTGCAGTTGCAGCCTTTTCCTTCTCAGCCAGGCTATTCTCCTTCATGCAAACAATGCTCTCTTTTTGCCACGCTAGATTCTGCTCATTTCGAGCAGCAGCAAGAGCATTCCCCTCAGCGAGCAAAGTTGTCATTCTTTTCTCGGCCTTCTTCGGGTTCTTCCGCTTTCCTGAACTCCCTGGCACCTGTGTAGCATCTCCAGGAGGATCAACACCATCTGCGGGATCCTCCTCGTAAGCTTCCTCTTCCGGAGCATCTGAATCAGCAAGAAATGTTGGAGATGTTGATGCTTGCTTTGCTAGGAATTCATCCATGATGTTGAAGTACTCGACTGGGAACACCTTCAAGTTCAACTTCACCAGCATAAGTCGCTTCGCATCCTCATTAAAGTAGTCGGGGTTCCCAGTTTTCCTCTGGAAATTGTAAACGCACTTGTAGTTGTTGCAAAGGTTGTTCCAGCGAGTCTGGCAAACCTTCCAGTCTCGCTGCATGCCAGCAGCCTGCATCTTCTTCGCAATCCTCTTCCAGCGATTAGTTGCTGTCAACGTCATCTCCTCGCTGCCCCGCATTGCCCCGATCTTTCCAAGATGATCTTCCCGTTTGAAGTCAATGAGGGAAGCCGTCTCATCATCCCCCCAGTTTTTCCTGCGTTTCTTCCTCACTTTCTTCACGACATGAACACCTGCCTCCCCTTCCTCGTCGTCATCGCCTTCCTCTTCATCACCCCGATCATCTTCTTCCACCTCCTGTTCAACGGCAACATCCTGCTCCTCCAAGTTATGAAACCAGAACTGCATATACTGCTGTCCTAGTGACTCAGGTCACTTACTTCGCCACCCTAAACCCGAAACCACTCTCCTAGAATCTGAGCTAAACTTGGTTTGAAGCTTACCTCGTTGGTTGTCGTAGAAGAGAATTCAGAGAACAATTGAGTTCTAGAAGCCGTGGGGGGAGAGGCTCCAACTCCCTGTGCTACAGCTCCTCGTGCTCCAACTCCCCGTGCTATAGCTCCCTGCGCTCCAGCTCCAACTCCGCCCTGATTGAGGCCAAAATTCGAGAGATCGGCATCTCCATGGCCTCGGCCCTGAGGCAGCCTGCCTCCTCGAGCAACAGCTGGGCCTGGTGCTCGTCCTCCAGCCCCAAATGCTCCTCCACCACGATTGCTCCTCACTCCACGAGCAGCACCTCCTCGCTGGATGCCACTGCCCCAAACCCGCACCATCTCGTCAAACCCTACAGTTCCTCCTTCCCCAAAATCAGCTCCTCCTCCTTCCTCCACTGAATCCCCAACAGGATCTAACCCTAGGGCGATGATGTCGGCTCCCCCGCCATAAAATGCCTGAGCGCTCACGCAGCTCATGGCAAAAATCTGAAATGCCCTAATCAGGGTGCTGGAATCTTTGGGGAATTTTGGAGATTCCTTTTAAAAATATTTTTAAGTCTAAAAGAACCCTCCCCCCATCTTTTAAAATTGGTCTGAATGTTTTAAAAAGTGAAAACATTGTGTTAAAGTTAACACTATGTGCGAATCAAAATGTTTTAAGAAAATATCCTAAATTTTAATGTAAAGTAATTTACTTTATTTTAAAACATAGTGCAAATGTATTCATCACTTAAATTTAGCACATTTCAAGAATAAAGAGCAGGTGCAAATGGCTCCAGACTTAGTTTTTTAATGTGATAGATTTACAATTTCCTTTGTTACAGAGATTGTTTTTGTTTTTTTGCTCGTTTCTCTAGCAGTGCTGTGGCTCCTTCAAACCTTATGGTGCCTCCGACAATGGCGAAAAGAGCTTAAGAGGGGGCTGCCAATGTCTTCATTGACCGCATGGATAAGAAAATGGAGGACGATGATGTCGCTAATGCTCATCCATTTCTTAGATACATAGAAAAATAGTGGCATGAATCTTGGGAGATTTTGATGAGGGGGTTTAAAGGTTTTAGCAGCTGCTCGTGGGCAATGCAGCAACACCAGGAGTGGGCGGGGCTCCAGTCGTGGAGGTCCCCGGCGGCGCCACCCAATGAGCGGCGCCGCTGGGGGGATGCCGGCCCTGAGATGGTGGCGACTCCCTTAGATCACGCTGGTTCTTTCTCTCCTCCCCCTCGCAGCCTCGCGGAATGGGGCGCCTTGATCCTCGCCACCCCTCGTCCACTCTCCAAATCCCACTTGACGCACCACGCTTACAAGCTTTGGTGCAGTGGTGCTCTTCCGATTGGTGTAGCGGTCGCCATGGATTCTCCCGCAAGGCCAGAGAAGCCTCAGCTGGTAAGATTCTTCTTCTTTTCTCTCGAAGTTCTAGACATTCGTTTGTTCTTGCTGTGCCTATAGGTGCATCCAAGGAGAGTTCCAACAGCCAAAGTTCTGGGGATATCTCCCAGCGTTCATATGATCCATAACTTGGCACACATCGAGCTCAACGCCGTGGATCTTGCATGGGACACTGTGGTGCGCTTCTCGGCGTCGGGTGGCGAGCTCGATTCGCAGTTTTTCGCGGATTTTGCTCACGTTGCGGACGACGAGAGCCGGCATTTCTGCTGGTGCGAGCAGCGATTGAACGAGCTTGGTTCCAGGTATTTAGAAACTTGTAGTTTTCTCTTCATTTATCGTTTCTTTATCATAGTTATGGAGATGTTCCAGCGCACAATTTGCTCTGGAAGGATTGCCAGAAAACTTCTGGAAGCGTGGATGCTCGTCTCGCAGTTATTCCAATGGTCCAGGTGCCTATATGTTTTTTTTGTTTTTTTCTGTTCTTTAGTTCTCCAACTTTTCTATTCGAGTTTCTCTATTGTTTCAGGAAGCTCGGGGTTTGGACGCTGGGCCGAGGCTGGTGGAAAGACTGAAGCAGCTCGGTGATGATAGAAGTGCCAATATTGTGGAACAAATCTCCCAGGAAGAGCTTGCGCATGTCGCTGTTGGTGTCTCGTGGTTCCTGGATGTCTGCAGGAGACTAGAGTGCGATCCAGCGGCGAGGTTTAAAGGTGGATAAACTAGTACAGATCTTTTCTTCGATTTCGTATCTGATCTCTTCCTTGTTTTCCTTGTTACGATCGATCAGAATTAATGACGAGCTTGAACGTGGAGCTGAGAGGTCCATTCAACCACAAAGCGAGAGAGGCAGCTGGACTTCCTCAATCTTGGTACTTTTCATCTCATACTTCCTCGAAAATCTCTTTAACGATCGATCAATCCGCAGGTATGACACCGCTATGGATACAAAACTGGAGCAAAAACATCTGTCACCTCAGGTACGCTCTCGCCAAACTCGCTCTAAAAGCTTCGTACTTTGCTTTTACACAGGCCGGGACCATCTCTTCCTGCCTTCCCGAGGCAAGTTCTTCTCGGTCCGTGATCTCGTCCGTCTCACATTTTTGTGTTCTTCCAGGTTTGCTCGAGATTGGCAATTGTTGTGTCTTCCGAGAGCGACAATCTCCGCTAGAAAAGCTCGTTTTAAGATCCGATCAGATCCAATCCAGCCCAGGTAACTAAAGATCTTTTGCTCAAACTTTACTTGAGTTTTCTTTGGTTTGAAGTCTCGATCTGGCGGTGGATTCGCAGAGCCCTCAAAAATCCCGCGCTGCCGCTGCTGCCGCCGCTAGAAGAAAATTTTACACCAACTTCATAAGGGAACGCGGCTACCTTATCTACCGTGCGAATATCCCACTGCATATTCAGCCATTTAAAGCATCTTTCCAGGACGAACAACAAACTCCGAGAGGGAAAGACAAGAGAGAGAAGAGCTCCACACTCAAGGTCTCATTTTTTCTCTTGAGTCTTTCGATTTTCTCTCGAGCAAACGCGGCAAGCAGGAAGAGATCTCATGGGTCTACAGGGAGAAGTAAGATTGAGCGATCTCAAAGTGAAAGTCCACAAGATCTCGACGGTGGTTCCAGCTGGAGAGACCGAGCAATGCACGCTCTTCATGTCCAACATCGACCAGGTACTGGCTTACTACGTCGAGACGGTCTACTTCTACGACAAGGGGGGTGACGCCGCGGTGGAACTTCTCCAGGAGGCGCTTGGGAGAGTTCTTGTCCCCTACCATTTCCTGGCTGGGAGATTCAAGCTCAATCCCAAGCTGGGGAGGATGGAGCTGGAATGCAACCGCGAAGGAGTCTCCTTTGCTGCCGCGAGCTGCGAGCTGCGAGTCTCGGATCTGGGCGATATCAGTGTTCCAAATCCGCTCTTCCGCAATCTCGTTCTCCTTCCGGACGAAGGCAAGGCTCTCAACGATGCTCCTCTCATCACAATCCAGGTTCGTTCCTTGTTTTTCTAGCGTTTGTTCTTGGTTCTTCCTTGGATAGAGCTTGGTTTCTTTGGGTGTTGAAATGCAGTTAATGCATGATGATCGTTTGGTTGCTGGCTTTACACTTTTTTATGCGGTGGTTTTCTGTTCTTGCCAGGCATCTCTTTTGCATTGCAGGACCGCATTTAATATCAGCGTGCTTGGATTCTTTACTCGTGAATTTTCTAGTCGTGACTCTTGATCTTTCCTTCGCGTTTTTACGTGAATTCTTGGACTTTGCGTCAGTGCTTGACCGATCTCGACTAAAAAATCCATTTTTTTTTCTTTCCACACTCCAGGTGACCAAGTTTTCGTGCGGTGGCTTCGCAATGGGCGTTTACATGAGCCACGCATCGCTCGATGGCATCGGCGCGCTCGAGTTCTTCATGAACTACTGCTCGGTTGCCCGCGGCGATGGCATGCAAGTCATCCCAAAGCCGGACCGGACGATGCTCGCCGCTCGCTCGCCACCGCAAGTAACTTTCGACCACACCGAGTACGTGAAGCTCAGCGATCTCATGGCCGCCGCCGCCGCCGCCAAGGCCACCGCCTTCACCACCCCGGACTCCGCCAACGCCACCACCCGTGCCCCACAAAAGCACGTCTACAAGAGCTTCTCCTTCACTCCCGACCGGATCGCCCAGCTCAAGAAGGCCGTCGTCGATGAATCCACCGCGACGATCGACAAGTGTTCTTCGTTCGAGGTGATCGTCGCCCATCTCTGGCAGGCGAGAACTCGGGCCGTGGAGATGGATCCCGACTCGCCCTCCAAGCTCTTCTTCGCAGTGGACATTCGCAACAAGGTAGATCCTCCGCTGCCAAAGGGATTCGCTGGGAATGGCGTCCTCTCGGCGCCTTGCGTGAAAACTCTCGCGCGGGACGTCCGCGAGAACTCGCTGGGCTACTGCGTACGGAAGGTCCAGGAGGCCATCGCCTCGGTGACCGACGAGTACGTACGGTCGTCCATCGACCACGGGGAGCTCTATCGCGGCGTGCCGGCGCTCCACGGTGGGATATTCATCTCCCCGTGGTGGAAGATCCCCTTCCAGGAGCTCGACTTTGGGTGGGGGCGGCCGCTCTACGCGGGGCCCGTGGTAAACGACCGGGTAGAATTTGTTTTACTGCTCCACAATGGTAAACAGGATGGCGGGCTCAATGCGTACCTGGCGCTGGAGCCGGCGGAGATGGACAAGTTTGAGAAGCTCCTCCAAGTTTAGCGAGGAAAGCATCTGGGCCGTTGGATTGTTTGCCTTCAAATTAAAAGGAAAATAGGAAAATGGTTTTTTATCGGACGGTGGACGGCTTCTCCGATGTGAAGCCCATCCCGACCGTCGGATTTGTTTCTTAAACCTCTCTTTGTTTCAAGCTTTTGGCTATGGCGTCCCCATCGTCGCTGTGCGCCGATCTCCGTGGCGCTCGAGCGGCGCCCGCATTGCCGTCGCAAATTTCTTCCTCCTCCTCCTCGGCCGTGGCGTTTCCTCTGCGCGCGCGGATCGGTGGATCGCTGAGCGTTTCTTCGTCGTCGATCGGACGCAGGGATCTTGGGATTGGCAAATGTAGCAGCGCAGGAGAGGCGGCGAATGTGGACGTCGAGCAAGTGCCGATCGAGAAGAGTGAGTGGATTTTCCCTCTCGATTTTCGATATTTTCCTTTGCATGTCCTTGATTTCATGCTCTTTGGATCAGGGTTTGAAGAATTTCCTTCTGTGCTAGACATCAACAAGATCCGGGACATTCTTCCTCACAGGTACAGTGTTTATACTGTCCTTGGTATTTGTATCTCTCTTGTTTGGCTCTTGTTTTTTCATTTGATCTCTCTTGTTTTGCTCGTAGATATCCATTTTTGCTAGTAGACAGAGTGATCGAGTATCAACCCGGTGTCACGGCAGTAGGGATTAAAAACGTGACGATCAATGACAATTTCTTCCCCGGCCACTTTCCGGAGAGACCGATCATGCCTGGAGTTCTCATGGTTGAGGTAGAAAACGATGAGACAGAGAATTTTCTTGCGTAGTTCTCATGCTTTTGAAATTTCTGTCCAGGCAATGGCTCAAGTTGGTGGGCTCGTGATGCTCAAGCCCGAAGCTGGCGGCTCCAAGGAGATTTTTTTCTTTGCGGGCGTGGACAAGGTCCGGTTCCGCAAGCCAGTGATCGCCGGTGACACTCTGGTGATGAGGATGAACCTCGTCAAGTTCCAGAAGCGATTTGGCATCGTCAAGATGGAAGGCAAGGCGTACGTTGGCAAGAATGTGGTTTGCGAGGGGGAATTCACCTTGGCAATGGCATCATCAGACGATGAAGCAACCAGCAACTGAGCTTTGGGCTTTTTTTGAGCTCATAATCAAGTTTTACACGATATTATTCTCGTTTGATAAAGATGGTCAAGCTATTGTCTGTTAGCTCCATCAATCTTATGCTCGGTCTCATGCTTTTAGTGTTCAAACCTTAAAAAATTTAAAACACCGCGGAAGCTTTGTCTAGTTCCAAATGTTCTTCCTTGTAATGTGGACTGATATTTCCCCATCAATGATAGTCCCAAATTGCGACTAATAACATGCAAGTTTCCAAGTAGATTCCAACACGTTCGCATGCCTTGTTTGAGTGATCCTCGCATTGCATTTCTTTCAACACTACTGGAGTTTTTTCTCAATAAAGAACTAGACTTGGTCTTGAGAATTTTAGGATGTGCTTGACCAGTAAATGCACGACAATGTCATACGTTGGCTTCTGCAATTCTCAAGCCAGATTATGTGGTCAAAGAATGTTTGCTACTCGTTTTGCTTGACTCTACGTTTATGCTTCCGCTTGATCACACATTATAACACGTCTTTTTTCTTTGTTAAGTTTAGGAAACTAGCATACCAGGCTATCCTTTTTGGATGCAAGTCTCAATCGAAATAGACGTGATTTATATATACAAGACAACAATTCTGCCATACGCGACCCCATGCTCGTCCTCGTCAGAATTGGACGGCCAGACCTTCTATAAAGAAGAAGACGAGGCAAATCCAGCATAGCAATCCAGAATCCCTTTAGCCAGTGCTCTCAGTGATCTACCACGAGCAATATTGCAAGTTTGGGTTAATACCGAATTCACAGCACTGCTACGTCGATCTATCCATTCTATGGTATCTATGGCCTATCCAAAGGACAAGATTGCCTTCTTGTATATCCACACAGAGAGTGGCGAGCTTGCCTTCATGTCACAGTCTGCATCGCAATATGTCCCAGTTACCGGCACCCGGAGTGATTTCACGTTTTCTTCCATTGTTGCAAGCAGCAGTGCAGAAGATTTAGAGGAGGTCAAGAAAGGCACACGTTCCATTGCTCCGGAGATGAACAGGTACACCATTTCCATGATTGGAGCTGATTCCCGCACTTCCTGGGAAGGCACAGTCTATGAGAGATACATTGGCAATGGTTTCGAGGGTGTGGTTTTCACCCAGGATCCCAGCCAGGGTACTCTCCAGGAGGCTAGCGAGATGAGTTATCTGGCCTCTCTCCTGCTGGAAAACAGCGTCATGACCAGGGATTGTCTCCTGGAGCCCTTCACTTCACACACACCTCAAGAGGTGGACGACATCACCTCCCAAGTTGTGGACATCATCGAGAAGAATTACATCCACTTTCCAAACCACGACCAGTGGTTCACCAGTGGGGGCAAGCAGAGGTTTGCGGACAAGTTGAGTTACCACGTCGCAAGAAACATTCCGCTCGAGTTCATCTTGCCGGCTTTTCCAGTCAAGTCGTGTAATCCTGACAAGACACTGGGAATGTGCCCGGACAAAGCCGAGGAGCTGGCCATTTATTCCATGAAGATCGTGGCCGATCTCATCAAGGCAGTATACCCTCCAGGCGTGCACTACAACGTCGTCTCGGATGGCCATGTCTTCTCCGATCTCGTCGGCTCTGACGATGCTGCTGTGGAGTCTTATGGCGAGATGTTTTCGGAGATGGCACACAACTTGTATCCCGGCTTGGTCAGTTTCTTCCGCCTGGATGAGTTTCTGCTGGACAACCACAGCGAGGACAGCATTACGAAGCTTATATCCAACACCACCGTGGAACATCCCGTTGCTACCGAGCTCACCGCCAATGCAGAGAATGCCAGGCGAGCTCTCATGTGCTTGTTTGGATGTGACGAGTCAACTGTCACCAAGGAGATCAAGGATGACCCGGAGACTCGCAATCTTTATCGTGGCTTCTCCAGATTCATGCTCGAGGACTTGTACGAACACAAGAGCTGCAAGAACCTTCCGTCAAAGTCGGCCAAGAAGAAGCTGTGTAGCCAGGTTGCCTTCCTCATGATCCTTAGGAACCGTGCCTTCTCGGCCATGGTGGAGTGGCTCTTCCCGTTGCAGCTGCGCATCTCCATCCACCCACATCCAAACAGAGGCCCTAAGTATGGCATCAACATCATCCATTCTTCTCTAGTGGCAGCACAGCGATCCTCCGAGGAGAAGAACTTCCACATCCCAACCCCATGGCACAATGCGGTGGTGGAGCTGGCTGATGGCAAGTTCATGCTGCTGCATTCCAAAGTCATCCGAGGTTCAAGTGTGCATGCTGGAGAAATGGCATGTGAGCAACTCCAGTTGAGTCAACAGTTGCTTCTCAAGCGTGAAGGCTATAGAATGATGCTGATGAGATATCCAGATGGTAGACCCAGCCACTACAAGCAAGTCTGCGTCTGCTAAGTTGCTGTTTGATTCTTTCAAGGTTTTGAGTAAATTTCCTAAGTCTAAGCCCATTCTTTTAATAAAAAATGAGTACATACCATTTTTGTTTACTATTGCTATTGCCGCCATGCAGAGACAAGAATAAGATACACCATGTTGATGTCCCTAATGATCAAAAGAATATCTTCGCCCCTTCAAGTATGATATCCATGCTTTGCATTACCTTATCCTGCAAGGAAATATTTGAAAAGATGCCAGAGCGCAATGTGGTCTCCTGGAACGCTATGTTAACAGCATATGCCGAGAACGGGCAGCTGGAAGATGCGGTTGGTACAACCGGATGTGTTCTCCTGGACGACGCTTTTAGTGGCATATTCGGAGGCAAGGAATATTGTCTTTGGGAGTGTGAGGTCCAACAGAAACGTTAAAGATCTTGTATTGCATCACAAGATCCAGATCTCAATCTCTATATTTACGCTCGAATCATAATCCAATGTGCCTTTTTAAGATTCAAAGGCAGCCGCCTTTTAGGTCATACCAATCCTTTAATCGCCATGACTGTGTGGAGAGCGGTCGAGACTGGTGAGTTGGTTGTGAGCGAGGAGCTCTCGTCGTTGAGGAAGATGTACGATGTGGGTTTTGAGCTTGGAAAGGGAGGGCAAGGCACTGTACACCTTGTAAGCTTTAGAATGGGTGGTAAGTTGCTAGCGGCTAAGAGCTTCGAGAGGTCGGGTGAGAGAGAGAAGGAAATCATGCTCAAACTCAACGGTTGCCATGGTACACTAGAGATCTACGACATGGTCGAGGAGGAGCGCAAGGGCCGCTGGTGGGGATCCCTAATCTTGGAGCTCTGCTCGTGCACGCTCCGGGACAGGCTCAAGATGGTGGGGAGGCTGGCGGATGACGAGGCGGCGTTTGTGACCAAGAGCCTGGCCGAGACGCTGAGGGAGATGCACAACCTTGGGGTGGTGCACAGGGATATGAAGCTGGAAAACGTTTTGCTGACGCATCCAGCGCAACCTTACGAGGTGAAGCTGTCTGACTTTGGGGTTGCGACTGACCGGGCCGACGAGATGCACCACCTTTGTGGCACCCCTGGGTATATGTCGCCAGATGTTCTCAGGGCTGGTGAGGGCGGATGGCCGAAATACTACACTCAAGCGGTGGACGTTTGGGGGCTCGGACTCATTCTATATGAGCTCCTTAGCGGAAGGGTGGCGTTCCCTGAGTACCACTCTGATTATGTGGAGTTATTGCTGAAAAGCGTGGACAATGTGGAGTTTGCATTGGATTGGAGTGATGTGACGAGCGAGGCAAAGGATTTGATCATGGGGATGTTGGAGGTTTATCCGAGCCGGAGGCTGACGGTGGAGCAAGTGCTTGGTCACCCCTGGATCGTGAACAACACCAGCGAGCTGTTTACCAGGAACTTTATTTGCAAGATTATGTAAGAACAAGACACAAAGAAACTGTATGTACATTATACATTATCATGTAAAATGTACATAGCAGAATGGATTCCATGTAGTAAGAACAAGACAAAGCTATAATCTATTTAACGATTCTTCCGTAATCATTTCTTTCGATGATTGTATATACATTTGTTTCATTTCTTCTCCGTTGCAACGCCCACGACGACGTTGCTCACCTGTTATCAAGCATCCTCGTTACATGGTCGCAGGATCAAAACGCACGGACGTACCAGTTTTCCACTCTCGTCAATCGTCATCGGGTTTTCAACGACGACTGTCTGAGGCTGTGGTCGAGGCTGCGGCTGCACAAGCAACAAGAACAGCAAATCATTCTCCAGAAACTGCAAGGAATAGTTACCAATTCCTGAGTTTGGAGCAGCGGCATGTATGGAGGAGGCGTGTGCGGCGGGAAAGGAAACCTCACATTGCTCATCTGTTGGCGAGAGAGATCAGAGAAAAACACACCGATGGAAAGGATCCTTACAGTGATTGGTGTGATGTATTGGCACAAAGCGCATTTCACCGATTGTGCCCCGAACGCATAAACAAGCGTTGTGCTGCATCCTCCACAGTTTACGTGCGCTATCTGGTTCGCTGCGAGGAAGAGAAAAGATATCTCAAGGACCGGAAAAATCTACAAACTTAACTTACCATCCATTGCAACGTTTACTGTGTGGCAGCACGAGCACTGAACGCTCGTCGCTCCACGGATGTAGAGAAGCAAAGTCCGACATCCTCCACACACAAGTTGTGCCATCTCTGGTCCTGGACGTTCACAACTAGAAACCCAGACATCCGCAATCCAAAGGAGGAAGTGGAACATACCTTGCGGTGAAACTGGCGTGATGCAGCTACACAGAGCACACCGGACGTTGGTTGCTCCATGTGGATATATGAGAAGTGTTCTACAGCCACTGCAAATCAACTGGCTTTGAGCACCTGGAAGAATTTACATCAGGTCACTATTCTAACAATGATTCAGTAAGAACTGCTATAGACAGCGATAACTATTCTATCAAGCAATGAAAGTAACAAGAACTCTTCTATCAGGGAACGAAAGTAGCAAGAGCTAAGAACAATTCTACCAAGCAATGCAAGTAACAAGAACTCTTCTATCAGGTAACGAAAGTAGCAAGAGCTAAGAACTATTCTACCAAGCAACGAAAGTAGAAATAGAACGAATGGCATCTATTCTATCGATCGAGACCAATGAACAAACCTGGAAGAGGAAGGAATGGGAGAAGAGGAGGATGTGATGGATATGGCGCGATAGGAACGGGCAGAGAAGGCGGCGTCCATGGATTGCTCCTGATCAAGCTGCTGCTGCTGCTAGAACCAGCCAAATTGTTGGCGGCGCTGGTATCAGCTTCAGCAGGCGATCCAGACGGCGCCGCCGAGCTCCCCAATCCCGCCCCTCCCTGCGCCGCTACTAGCACCGCCGCGGCAGCCTCATTCTGATCCGGTGGAGGAGGCGCGTCGCCCCCGCCTCCAGCGATCAACGCACTGTTGCCGCCGAGCATCTTCCTCGCGAATCATTATCCTCTGGAGAAATACAGCGAGAGAGATGAATGGAGGTGGAATCACAGCGCGCTAGGGCGGTAGAGACCTTGGAAGAAATCCTCGCGCATTGCTCATCATTGCTAGGGTTCTTGGGCAGCCGTTGAAATCTCCTTTTTCGCTACTTGCTGACGTGTCCTTCTTTAGTGTAAATATCATGTTCTTTCTTACATTCCTGTCTTATGGTGTCCAGGACACTACCACTACACTGGGTTTATTTAGGGTTCTTCCTCGCGATGGAAGGCGATGGCGCGTTGCGAGCGATCGTCTACAATCGGGGCAGCTTGCGCCTTCTTGACCAGGTGTGGATTGGATGCGAGCGACACTAAGCCCGAAATTCTCTGTTTTCTTGGCAGAGGGAGCTCCCTTTCAAGATTGTGTACCTCGATGTGAACGATTCCGGCACTGGATGGTTAGAATCGATGATTCTTTCCGCGAGGGATCTCTGAGTGAGGTGTGATTTTGGCAGGAAAGCAATTAAAGATATGGTTGTTCGTGGAGCTCCGGCGATTGCCATTGCCGCAGCCTTGTCTTTGGCTGTGGAGGTCCACAATCTTCGCCCTGGCAAGGTCACGACTCCGCAAGACGCTCTCCTCCTTTTGCAGAAGCGTCTCGACTATTTGGTTTCGAGGTACGTATGATTCATTGTTCCTTCCTTTTTTCCACTTTGGAATCCTTCTTTTTCTTTTGTAGCCGACCAACAGCCGTCAATCTCGCGGATGCCGCAGAGAAACTTAAGAAAGTGGCTTCAGTGGCAGCTAGTACCGATAATGCTAGCGCACAGGATGTGTTCCAGGTACTCGAGCACTTTGTCCATCCACATTGTGATCCATCCATGGATGCAGGCATACATTGAAGCCGCGGAGGCTTTTCTCGAAGAAGACGTCTCTTCCAACAAAGCGATTGGGGACTACGGCTCGGCGTTTCTTCTCAATGGAGCTGACGAGTCTCGCAAGCTGGCTGTTCTAACGCATTGCAATACTGGGAGGTGAGAACGACCTCTTTTGCGTGTTTTACGTAACACTTTCTTACTTTCCTGCAGTCTTGCTACTGCCGGGTATGGGACAGCTCTGGGAGTCATTAGAGCTTTACACTCGCAGAACCGCTTGCATACGGCATTTTGTACAGAAACAAGGCCGTACAACCAGGTGCGAAAGACGTCTCGTAGAACTTTGTATTGGTGGTAATCGATAATTAGCAGGGATCGCGATTGACAGCCTTTGAGCTGGTGCACGACAATATCCCCGCCGTGCTCGTTGCAGACTCTGCAGCAGCGTCGCTTCAATCTTCCGGGCGTGTGGATGCTGTCATAGTTGGCGCTGACAGAGTTGCGGCGAATGGTAAAGCCTAGCATTGTGTTTCATCTCCGTGATTTTTTGTTTCTTCAGGTGACACCGCAAATAAGATTGGAACGTACAGTCTGGCTGTGTCTGCCTCGCGCCACGGGATACCGTTTCTCGTAGCAGCGCCATTGACTTCGGTGGATTTGTCTATCTCGTCCGGCGACCAGATTTCTATCGAGGAGAGGTCAGCTTTGGAACTGACTCATACTCAGGGTGGACAAGGACATCGAGTTGCTGCCGAGGGAATATCGGTGTGGAATCCGGCGTTTGATGTAACACCAGCAGCCTTGATCTCCGCCATCATAACTGATAAGGTACATGTCACCCGCCATGCAACTAAAGCGAAAGTGATGTTTTTCTACGTGCAGGGTGTCATTACGAAAGCTGATGAATCCGGCACCTTTGACATTCCTGCATTTGTGAAGAGCTTAACAACAACCGCTCCCGGAAAAGCCACCAGTTTTCGTCCCCTGAGCGAGAACACTGTGGCAGATTACGTGCAAAGTGTTTCGCACCTTGCGAAGCGACTTGGGGGTAGTAAACAAGACTGGGCGGTTAAAGAAGTTGGAGATGGCAATCTCAACTTTGTCTACATTGTTACGGGTGCAAGCGGCTCTTTCGTCTTAAAACAGGTAAGATTTATCGCAGCATTCATCCATTACAATGGCTCTTGTTTTCTCCATCCACAGGCCCTTCCTTATGTACGATGTGTTGGCGATAGCTGGCCATTGTCACTGGAGCGTGCTTATTTTGAAGTTACGGCTTTGCAAGAGCACGGAAAGCACTGCCCAGAACACGTCCCGGAAGTGTATCACTTCGACCACCCGATGGCATTGTTTGCAATGCGCTATCTAGCGCCGCCGCATATCATTTTGCGGAAAGGACTAATCGCTGGAACGAAGTATCCCTTACTGGCGGAACACATGTCGGACTACATGGCCAGGACGTTGTTCAACACTTCGCTTTTGGCAACTTCTACAACTGAACACAAGGCGGCAGGTTATATCCTCGTTTCTTTTCTTTTTTTTTCCATTCACCTTGGAATCACGTCGTCATGTGCAGTCGCCAAGTTCTGTGGGAACGTCGAGCTTTGCAGATTGACAGAACAGGTGGTCTTCACGGAGCCGTATATGATCGCGTCAAACAATCACTGGACAACACCTCAGCTAGATGAGGACGCTAAGTCCATCCGCGAAGATGATTATTTAAAGCTCGAGATTGCCTCGCTGAAGTCCAAGTAAGCCTTTCGTGCTTTCTTTTGCACAGCACCTACATTCATTCTGCTGTTGTTTGCAGGTTTTGTGAAAAGTCACAAGCATTGATTCATGGAGACTTACACACGGGATCAGTGATGGTCACTCAGGAGTCGACACAAGTGATTGATCCAGAGTTCGCATTCTACGGGCCAATGGGGTTTGACATTGGAGCCTTTCTCGGGAACCTTGCTCTTGCGTACTTTTCACAAGACGGTCATACGTCTGACAACAGCAATAGAGATGTAAGTCACTGCTCAAACTTGCAAGGCCTTTAACGCAAACGTCCACCGCTTCTTCAGGAATACAAAGAATGGATATTGAAAGTTCTACAGGATACCTGGAATTTATTCAAAGAGAAGTTCCTTCTCTTGTGGACAGACAAATCCCAGAGCATGGGCGACGCATATCCGGCTGGCGTTTACACGTCGCTTGAGACTCATAAACTGGCCCAGAAGATTTATCTCAGGGACTTGTTCGAAGATGCGCTGGGTTTTGCCGGGGCAAAGATGATAAGGTAACAACAATAAGTTCTTTCGTAAGCTTTGTAAATCTTTGTTAACGTAAACTTTGTGCAAGCAGGAGAATCGTGGGCATTGCACACGTAGAGGATTTCGAATCGATCGAAAACCCAGAGTTGCGGTCACAATGTGAAAGACGCGCGTTAAATTTTGCAAAAGATTTGCTCAAGACGAGATCCAAGCTCGCGTCAATTGAGGAAGTAATTCAGCTTATCAGAAAAGTGTGAGATAACAATCATACAATCAAACTGCCAACGTACTCAGCTTTCCTGAAAATAAACCGAAAATCGAAATAAGAAATAGTTGAGAACTTCAAGCGTGGTGATTCACTTACCAGCTTAATTATATTAGTGGAAGAGAAAATTTACTTTGCGTAAAGCACGTCTTCCCAAGGATGTCTGTAGAGTGGCTGTTTTAATCTCTTTTGATCGAAGGTATGCCTGGCAAAGCACGCGTTGTAAAAATGTGAAAGAAAAGAAGAATCAGCCATACCCGATCAAGCCGATAGTCCTAGCAAGAACAAAAAGTCCGTTGAGGTATCCGATTCCTACGATCTCATCTATTTCCTGCTGGCTGAACATTGCGCAGCTCGCGAGAAGATCTAAGAAGAGCGAGCCAATGGCACCGTCCACGTTGAGCACCAAGGTGTTCGACTTGGATAGTGTGTAGCTCTCGACACGAACTGCATACTCCATGTACTTGACCGACGGAAAGAAAGTTCGGCCATAGTGCTGGAGTAGCTCAACCCTCTTGTCACGATTGTCACCTCTCTTAATTCTGCAGGTATGAAGTATAAGAGATCATATATTTCGAGAACACAACGACAAGTACCTGTGACCAATCCCTGGTACACGAATTCCTTTCTTTTTCATGGACTCCACGAAGTCATATGGTGTCAAGTTCTGTAGAACACGCACTGTGACGAAAAAATAGAAGAAGAGAGGGTTCCACCTTGTCGTAAGCATCTTTGAAGTAGCGGGCTGCATCATCAATAGCTCCGCCAAAACGAGGTCCTATTGTAAGAAGGCCTGCACAAGAAAATAGTTGTAAAAATACCGATGGAGTCACACGAACCTGAGACTAGAGATGATACTAGATCCTTGCCAGCACGGGAGGTTACAATCGTATTGTGCGCGCCAGAAACGCAGGGACCATGGTCTGCACAGAGGATGATACACATCTGCAAAATTTGAACGAAGATTTAAACGCGAGTCTACAAAGACAATACATGCCTCAATGAATTTTGTGCAGTATTTTGGAAGGCTTCTCTTGAACCAGAGCAACGATATTACGTCACCAAGGCCATAGTCCTTTTCAATGATTGTGGAAATTTGTACACCAGCGTAAGTTGGTTCATCACCTTCAGGAATAACAGGCGAATTATTAGCTCTTTAGCCTTCCATAGTTTCTAACGAACCTCTGTCATCGCAGATTGTAGAGACAATGTGCGTCGGAGCTCGAACTTTTCCGTTCTTCACAGCAACGTGAAGATCTTCCGGCACGGTTGGCGGTTTTGGCTCGGGAGCGGGAACAATTGTCTGGTTCGAAACCTGAGATATGGACAACAATACGTAGGATTTGGAATCGGAAATAGTACTTGAGAAATACCAGTTTGTCGTATACGCCTTTGACAGCACTTTCCAATCCTTCGTATGACGTAGGCACAATTGCACCGGCCTCTTGAAGGGCCTTATTCTTTCCCTGTGCTGATTCCATATCACCACCGCTTTTAGCACCCTACAAACGCGAAAGAAGGCAGTGACGTAAACGAGAATCGGTCTTGAAGCACTTACGGCATGTCCAAATTGCACTTCTGACTTGAAGAGTTTGGCACAGGTTCCACTGACCCACGCGACGACAGGTTTCGTCACTTTGCCTTGCTTCAATGCCTCAACCAAAGAATACTCGTCCCTTCCGCCTAATTCTCCAAGCACTACGATCATCTTGATCTGTAAGGAGCAAAATCAAACACAAACACAGCAACCTTTATGATCGCCTGCTTACCTGGGGGATGTTGTTAAATCGTAGTACATGATCTGAGAGAGTTGACCCAGGATAAACATCCCCACCGATAGCGATTCCTGAACAAAAACTAGATTTCGTCAAACTCAATGCAAACTCAAACTCAAATGCTTGATAGACATACCTTCATAAAGTCCATCAGTTACACGCGCTATGACATTGTACATCTCGTTAGACATGCCACCCTGTGAAAAGAAAAGTCGTTGTCAATCAGAGGAAAGATCCATTTTTCCAAATCATTTTACCGATTTTGAGACGAAACCAACTGATCCGGGCCTGTAGAGTTTGGACTGGATTATGTTCTCTAAGGTACCAGCCGTGTCTCCGATTTTGAAAGCTCCGGCTTGGATGCCTCCCACTGTAGCAGGACCAATCACAACCTGAGTATAATTCATTCCATCAGAAACAAACAAACGTAAAAAACAGGAATTTTTCGTTACTACTTTGTGATTTAAGGCAGCAAACGCAATGAGCTTCTTTGTGTCAGCTTCCGGAACTCCTTCCGCTATAATCACGATCACACGAATTGTAGACTGCTTCAGAGCGTCCATGGACGACTGAAAGGCACTGCAAGGGCCAAGAGAAAGTAAAGACCAACCAAGGAACCAAAAAACAGATCTATCACCTTCTAAACGATGCAAAATTGATGAACACATCCGCCACTGGATGAGCTCTACACGCAGCTTGAACACTAGAAGAAAGAACGAGGAAACCAATCCACAATGTGATCCATCCAATCCAAAGTTACATACCTCCCATAGACAGGAACAGCGATCTCTTCTTGCCCGAAGAAGAGCTTCTGGAATCCATCCGATCCGGGATTGACAATGCCGGCCACGGAAGGAATCTCGCGGCCTGGAAAGAAATCGAATGAGAGATCGATGGACAAGGGAGAGAATTCTCGAGCCGCCTGACATTACCGCACAAGAAATCGTAGTCGAGCATTCGCTGCACGGGGCTCTGCTTGTAGTTGTAGAAGAGCGCCTGCGTCGTCCGCGAGAAGAGCTGCCCCGTCGCCATGGGAGCTAGCTAGGGCAATACGATCCCTCCCCCGCCCCAAAGCGCGCTCGCGACTCGCGAGTCAGCGATCCCAGACCTAAAAACTGTATCGCATTCTCGCGAATTCGAGCTTTAAGAACGATTCTCGCGAGTGACGCCAAACGCATGCTTGTATACCAGCCCGTCAAAATGGAAGGAAAGAAGGGTCTCCGGCTCGATTCCAGAGAGCTACCTATAGAGGAGCTACCTTTAGGGTTCTTGAGTAGGGGTAAAGAGGGAAACGATCCCTCTTGTAGGTAGTGCGCAGTCGAGGGATCCGGGCGGCGCGTGGATTCACGCGGCAGCTCTACATTTTTCGATTTCTAGGGTTTCTCGAGCAGGGAAGGAGCCATGTCGGCATACGCAGAGTCTTATCAGCCGGCGGTGACGCATTTCTGCCACGGGTGTAATCTCTCGGTGCGCGCAGTGACCACGGACGATGTGATCTGCCCGTTTTGCCAGGGGGGTTTTGTGGAGGAAATCTCTAGCGATGAGGAAATTCCGGTGGCCGCAAGCACGAATTCCGCCCCTGGCAGCGCCGCTCCTCCTCCTCCTCCTCCTCCTCCTCCTCCGCCAGGGCCAGGATCCACAGCGCCTGAGTATCCACCCAGAGTTATTCCACAGCGCCATATGTTTATCCAAACGTTGACAGCCTTGATGCAAGGTTCTTCAATCTTTTTTTTTTGGTTTTCTTCCATGCATTGTTTACGCTGTTCTTTGCTTTGCCTCTTCCCAGGTGGTGGAGTTGGGAACGTAGAGTTCGTTGTGGACCATGTCGGCAACCAGGGTTTCGTTGCCGACAATGGCGCCAACCCGGGCTCGCGCCGCACGTTTGGCAACTTTGGGGACTACTTCTTTGGCGCAGATTATGATCACCTTCTCCAACAGCTTGCCGAGAATGATTTAAACCGCTACGGCACTCCGCCCGCGTCCAAGACAGCAGTGGAAGGCATGCCGACTATGAAGATCACAGACGAGCACCTGGCCCAGGATTCCGCTCCGTGTGCGGTTTGCAAAGACGAATTTGAGTTGGGAACAGAGGTCCGCGAGATGCCGTGCAAGCATTTGTACCACCCGGACTGTATACTTCCTTGGCTCAAGCAGCATAACTCGTGTCCGGTGTGCCGGTTTGAGTTAGCGACGGATGATGCAGATTATAACCAAGCTCGGATGCCTGGGACTGCTGGCAGTGGCGGAGGAGGTGGTCGCAGGGGCCGAGAATTTCTCCGGGGCCATCCGTATCGGGTCCCAGTGCCTCCATGGCTATTGGGGAGTGAAGCGTCTGGGTCTGGGGGTGGCGAGGAATATGATAGCTTGCGGGATGTGGACTAAGCTCTTGATGTCATCTGATTGTTTTTTCCTACAGTACCTAGCTGCAGCAGCAATGTTTCATTTCTTACATTTGGCACAAGAGGGACACTATAAATGTAAATTGCATCTGTCAAACGAGGATCTTCTTCTCCTAGTGTTATCTGCATTCTACTTGTTGAGAAGGTAAGAGGTTTGTGAGGGTGGCAGTCTTTGTACACTGTCAAGAGCCTTCTGGTTATACTACTTTCGAGCCTTCTTCTTTCCCTTCTCCGTGACATCCCAAGCAGCAGAGCACAGCTTCTGCTGCAATTGCCGCTTCTCCGTGGGAGGCTTGAAGTTGAAACAGCCTGGAAGGAAGCCATCAAACCACAAAAGAGTGAGAACAAGATGGATGAATCTCCAAGCTTTTGCTGTGATCACCTGTGTCCGAGGGAGTCTCCTTAAAACCATCAAGGATTGCAATGATGCCTCCGTCCTGCAACGAAGAGGAGAAGCCGGTTCGGGAACCAAGAGGATCAAGAAGCAGCCTTACCTTGTCGTGAGCTATGGTCTGATTTCTCCAGTACGCCAGTGGAGGTACAAGCAGCCTTCCTGTAAATGTTCTAGAGCCGTCACCGAAATGATCCAGCTTTTATTCGAAAGTGCTTACCACTCCTGGAAGTCTTCAAACCATAAGCCTCGATCACCTCGTCTTGCTTCACACGGGACGCTGGCAGCGGCGGGGGCACATTCTGCGAACACATCAAGTCAGGGACATGCACAAGGAAAAGATTGGACTTACGGAGGAGCGCTTTGGTCTCCGCTTGGTACGTTTCGACTGGGCAGTAGACGCCCCGGCTTCAATCTGGTTGTTAGTGCCAGAGACCACCTGCTGTTTCATGCTATCCTGTCCCACTTCTTGAGGAGTAGCAAGCAACTCTGATCCTGCTTGCTCAGTTTGCTCACGAGCCTCTTTATCTTCCTCGATAGAGCTCGGCTCTCCCGAGTCCACTGGAGGTGGTGCCGGAGCTTCCGCTTCCTCCTGTGGAAGCTTGTTCTTCCTAGGCCGGCCACGCTTTCCTGACGGCTTCGACAAGGGCCTCTTCCGTCCCCTCGCCGGTGATGGCTTTATGCTCTTCCGCTGCTCGGCAATGGTGTCGTTGTTTTCAACCACGGACTCGGCCCGGGCCTCGACGGTATCTCTCGGCTTTGGGCTCGGCGGCTTCTCGGAACCTGGCCGTTCGTGGACTTCAGCAGCCACGGTATGTTCCGGAGATCCGGCACCTGCTTGTTTCAGAGTAAGTTCTGCCACTGTACGTTCTCGAGTTTCTGTTCCCACGTCTTGTTCTCGCTCTGTCCCGAAAAGTTCCTCCACGATGGCTTCGGCAGCAACATCAGCCTCACCTTCGGCAACCGGTTCTTTGCAAGTAATCTCTGCAACAGTAGCCACCTCATTCTGGACCTCAGTCACTACTATAATAGGTTCTGTGTCGCCATGAGCAACGGTAGTCTTCGTCTCCACACTTGGCTCTTTGCTGACCACTTGTGTTTCTGTTGTTGGTGATGCGGCTTGACTCTCACTCGCAGCTGCCCCTTTGCTGCTACAGGGACTTGATCCCCCGAGCGAGCGCTTAGTGTCGCCGACTTTCTTGGTCATTCTCGAGACTTCGGTGTCGTCTTGGAGAACTCTCTCCCACGTACACGGGAAACCGGAATAGAATATATCAGCGACCTGAAATTTGCAGTAAGAACCAAGTGAAGGAACAGCCAAACTAGACCAGCTTACCCAGGCTGAAAACCCATTGGCAATAGTTGTTTCCTCGTCCATGGACCCCATCAAACGAACCTCAACTCCATCACAAGTTTTCAGTCTGCTCTTGTCAGTGCGCTGGGCAATCGGGCCAGTCTTTACGAATTCCGAGTCCATCCTAAAGCATAGAATGCTCAACAAGTATCCCGATAGCAAATGAAGAACTTACCCGTACTGAAAGCCACCCAAGGCTACTTGCAACCTTCCGGACGTAGTGTCGGATTCTTCGAGCTTGATAAGAAACCATTTGTGCAGAACGATCTGGAAAGAACGATAGAACAACTCAAAAACCAGCAAAGAGAAAACCGGACGACAAAAAAGACAGAGCTTTCCACAACCAAACTCTACCTGGAATTTTTTAGAACCCCTCCTATCTCCTCTCTTCTTAAACAAACCCACTCAAACAAGCAAAATCTCCCAGAACAAAGATCTCTAGCAAACCTGGTTCTCCGGTCGATATCTCGGCATGGAGCACGGCCACCGCCACAAAGAAGCCCTGTCGCCAGTACTACAAGGAGGAGACTCCACTGCGATATCCCTCCGCAGCGTCATCTCCCGCTTGAGCGGCGTGGCCGGGAAGAGCATCCCGCCACCGCCGCAGCCACTCCAGTGCCCAGATTCCGCCGCCGCTCCTCCCGCCTCGCAAAAGAATTTGTGCGATTTGCCCCTGTACTCGTGCTTCGTGGCGCACGAGTGGCAGGAGCAAGCCTGCTGCTGCCGCGGATCCATGGATCTCCGCGACGGGATCATAGCGCGCGCGCGCCCGCCCCTGCTCTTCACTAAAACCCTACTCCACTGTCAAAGGCTTGGACGTAAACCCAGTCTTGCTATTACTAGAAAAAGTAAACGCCCTTGTTTGTGGAATCTCGTTAACAAAAGAACAACATTGGAGGGGATCAAAACGAATCTTTTCGAGCTCGAGGCTTCTAAGACCGTGGCTTCTCCTTCTTCTCCTTGAAGAGCGCTAGAAGCGAGACTCCAGAGACCTTGACGACCTTGAATCTCACTCCGGGGATATCTCCCACTGCGTGACCCTTTCGCCCGAATCCAGCGATGAGCACTTCGTCCTGGGGAGTTGGATCCAACCGGTGAGATGCGAGCGAAGATCAAGAGGATCTGGAGCAAGAAACTTACATTCTCTTCGATGTAATTCAAGCAGCCATCGTTGGGGACGAACGCCGCGATCTTCTTGCCGTTTTTGATGAGCTGAACTCTCGCGCATTTTCGAATGGCGGAGTTGGGCTGCTTGGCCTCGATACCACTGCGCGAAAACAGATCAATCGAGGGAAATCGAATCGAGAAGCGACTTTGCTTACATCTTCTCGAGGACAATCCCCTTGGCGTGGGACGAGCCCTGGAAGGGCTTCTTCCACTCGTTGCCGAGGTTGCGCTTCTTGTAGGATTTGTCCGCCCACAATTGCGCCCGGCGGTGGTTCTTGAGCTTACGACCGGCTCCCTGTCCGCGCGTCTTCCTGAAGAACAGCTCGGATCAAACAATGGATTCTAGAGCTGGCTTACCCCATGGCTCCTCCTCCTCCCTGCGCGGCGCTTTCGAAAGCAGTAAGCCCTAGAGAGCGGCTTCTAGGGTTAGGGCTTTACTGCAAAACCGCTGCCGTCGATCTGAAAATATTTGGTTTTGAAAGGACGGCCAGGATTTTTGTTGTATATACTATAAGATATTCTTTGTACGGCCTAGAATGAGGAAAGAACCATGCCTCAACTTTCAAAGGTAACCTTTCTTTTTCTTTTGAAGGGTTTGTTTGATATCTACTGTCTATTTTGAGAGTCTACTAAAAAAGTATAAATTTCAAAGTATAAAATGTAATTAAGAAGCTAAGCATATTATAACATTTTCAATGAAATATTTTTATTTCTATTTAATTCTCAGTTTCATATATTTACTAGCATTTGCCCAGCATATGTTGCCTAGTTAGCAAAATACTTTTTATATATTAAAAACGAAATTGGAATAGTATCAAAAAAACAAATATTGTATTCCACTTTGAAAGAAGAATTGGGTGAATATAAAAATCAATTCTTGTAAACTTAATAATATAAATATTTACAACAAAATAAGTAAGAATAAATATTCATTAACAAAAATATTAGATACAAATTATTATTTGGAAATATGAATATATTTGGAAAAATACCCTACCCAGAAAAAGTAAAAATGAAATTTATATTATTAAAAATATGTTATATGTAAATTTTATTTCTAGTTGGGATAAACTTATATTAAGATTTTATCAAACAGAAAAGAATAATTACTAAGAATAATTATTACTCATTTTTATTAGCAAGACATTACTTAATTATGCTTTTTACTTAAACAATAAGTTTACATTAATATATTATGACCCATATCCAGTCAAGAAAATAATTACTAACAAAATATTTTGTAAATATATATGCTATAGAAATTGTAATTCCATAGTATTATGTACTAATAAACTATCATTACAGTTAGGAATAAGAATTTAAAATATTACAGCTTTAATCAAGTGTTGCATACATTATCTTAGTTTTTCTGAATGAGCTAGATTGTAAGTAGCTAGGGCTATATAAAAAAAATATAATATATACTCCTATTGTTGATGCTTGAAATTTTGATCATGATCCTACACATTTATAAAACTACATCTATAAAACTAAGTCAACCCACATTTGATATACTATTATTTGGTGTTGGGTTTAATATGTTATAGTGATATTTAAATAGGCTATCGAATATATTTTAGTTTATTCTTACAAAATAAGATTATCCTAGAATACAGTTTTCTTATTATATTTACAAATACTGTTAACTTAAATTATAAAATTTCATTGTGACCTAAAATATTCAAAGATTATAATAATTTATAAAATAGAATAAGTTTAGATATGTGAGTGCATGGAATATGGAAAAGGAATACAGAAATGTGAATATCAATTAGCCCAAAAACCCTAAGCGAGTGGTCCGAATTAAAACCAATCTGACAACTACCATAATCCCACTATGTTAATATTAATATACGGCATCATAGCTGTATACTTGGCCCTCACATCATCCCCTCCTCTCGGAATAATGGAAGACTATTAGGGTTCTCTTGTAGACGGGTTGGGATCTGGAGGAACATTAGGAGGAGGCATCGGCAGATCTGTAGGTGGTATTAACTGCTCATGATCCCTTTGTATGAAACGTTTCAATCGCTGCACATGCACAATCTCTAGAGGATCAGCCTGCTGAACATCATGCCAAACCTTATAAACTTGTGGTCTAACTTGCTGCAACACTTGATATGGTCCTTTCCACTGTGCAAGGAGCCCCTTAGATAAACCACATACCATAAGATGGGGAAAACAGACTAACACCAAATCATTCACATTGTACTCCGCAGGTGGACAATGATAAAAGTTGTACCGCCATTGTTGTCCCACTTGTACGCAGCCTAAGTGTTCGGCAGACTCCGTTCGGACAAGTGGAAGAATGCTCATCAAATACTGATCCCATGACCTAGCATCTGCAGGTCGTGGCAATCGCAAAGGTAAACCCCGCTCCATTGGTAATATTGGATCATGACCATATAGGAGTTTATATGGTGAAGCACCTATAGAACTCTACACCTTTGTGACATATCCATACCGAAGAGACGGCAAATAACCATTCCAATTCGAATGCTAAAAGTTCACATACTTCGCAATCATCCCCTTGAATGTCCAAACGAGCCGTTCCACCAGACCGTCTGATTGTGGATGATAAACACTCGTGAAAGTGTGGCATATCCCTAACCAAGACATCAAAACATGAAATGCCTCAACCATAAATCCAGGACCATTATCCAAAAGAATCCATTTAGGACAAGAATGTTGGAACACCACTCGATTAAGGACGAAGTATCTAACAGCAGTTGCAAAGGTGTTAGCAAAAGCACCAATTTCCACCTAACGAGTCAAGTAGTCAGAAGCAATAATAACATACTCATTATCAGTAGTTGACCGTGGGAAAGGTCCCATAAGATTAAACGCCACCAACTCAAATGGACGGGAAACTGCAATTGACTCCAACCGTCCTTCCGCAGCTTGAGGGGGAGTAGTACGAGCTTGGCACCAAACACAACTACGCACATACTGAATAATATCACATCGCATCTCCAGCCAATAAAAAGACCTACGCAGCTTCTCGGTTACACAACGATGTCCCATATGCCCACCTAGAACAGGAGAATCATGGTAGGCATGGAGAAACTGCGGAATAAAGATAGAAGGCACCACCAGCCATAAATGATTATCAGGATCCATCCCCACAAAATAAAGAAGGCCGTCTTCAAGGTGATATTGAGAATGTAAATGCCGAAAAGGCAAGTCATCAGCAAGTGATGCAAGATTCTCAAACCCATCTTGAAGCCTTCGAATCCATGGCTTAATCTTTTGAGCCTCGCAAACCTCATCAAGAGAAGGTAGATCTTGCTTTGCGCCTTGTGGACACTAAACGTCAGGTACAGCAACTGCCAATGGCACAGAATCCTCGTCTAGAAAATCCATAGAGGTTGGAACAATAGGCTTATCAGAAACATGAGAAGAGAATGAAAAAGGAAAAGGAGCTCGAGAAAGGGCATCAGCATCAGCCATAGAATTCCCTAGATGATGAACAACATCAAAATCATATATCTGAAGTTTCAAAACCCATCGAGCAGAACGATCAACCAAGTTCTCCTGCTTCAATAATGAAGTAACAACAGCATAATCACTTTCAAGTAACATTCGAGAATAGATATACATGAAGTTTCTCGAAACCCCAAACTGCTGTTAAACACTCTTTCTCTATCGTGGAGTAGTTCATTTCCGCTAATTGTAATGTACGGCTTATATACGCAATGGGATGGTGCTAACCAGGCACATTTGAGCTCTCTTGCATCAACACACCTCCAAGACCAAAGTCAGAAGCATCCATGTGTAAAATAAAAGGTCGAGTGTAGTCAGGATATGCCAAAACGGGAGGAGTTGTCAATAGCTCTTTGAGATCCCCGAATGCCCGCTCACAACCTGGAGACCAGATGAAAGATGATGTTGATGACTTCAGCAACACTTGCAATGGTGCAGTGCAATAAAAAAGATGATCCACAAAACGACCGAGATACTGCACCTTGCCCAAGAAGCACTGCACATCATTCACACACTTCGGAGTAGGGAACTTTAGAACAACCACAAGATTGTCAGGATCAACTTGCAAACCCTCACGAGAAATACGGTACCCAAGATAAGTTGCATCCTTGGACCCAAACACGCACTTCGACCGCTTCAGCTTTAAACCAATGTTGCGTAGCCGATCCAACACTTTACACACATCACAAATATGCTCTTCTCACGTCCCTTTCGTGAATCAAGACATCATCAATGAAGTCAGCAGTCACCTTTGGCATATCACAAAGAACTTCGTCTATCATCCGCTAGAAAGTTGTTGGAGCATTTGTAAGCAACCAAAGGGAACGACTTGAGAGACGATCCATGAGGTTCAAATATAGAAGGAAAGGGCCCATGAATAAGAGTGCACCCTCTTTTCCAATCAGTTAAGGGTCTTGGGATATTTGGGGTTAAGCGTCCTTGGGTTTGAATAGTACTAGGCTGGGTGACTTGCTGGGAAGTCCAAACTCATGAGCTTACATTTGGTATCGAAGCGGTCTCGGGTCCAACTCTATTGGTTGGCTAAGAGAATCACACCACATATTGATTGACATCTGGCTGGTCCATTTGGTATCGGAGTGGTCTCGGGTCCGACTCTGTTGGTTGGCTAAGGGAATCACACCACATGTTGATTGACATCTGGCTGGTCCAGTTTGCTCCCGCTGGGCTCGACCCGAGGGGTAGGGTGTCAAGAGAGCGGGGCTCTCGGGAGAGCTGCGGCTCTCAGCTTCCGTTCACGAGGGCGTGAACTTGCAGGGAAGCGTGGTGGATTGTAAACAACCAAAGGGAATGATTTGAAAGATGATCCGTTAGGGTTCAAAGATAGAGGGAAAGGGTTTATGAACAAGAGTGCACCCCCTTTTCCAATCGGTTAAAGGTCTTGGGATACTTGGAGTTAAGCGTCATTGGGGTTGAATAGTACTGGGCTGGGTGACCTCCCGGGAAGTCTAAACTCAAAAAGCTTACATTTGGTATCAGAGCAGTCTCGGGTCTGACTCTGTTGGTTGGCTAAGGGAATCACACCATATGTTGATTGACATCTGGCTGGTCCAGTTTGCTCCCGCTAGGCTCGACCCGAGGGGTAGGGTGTCAAGAGAGCAGGGCTCTCGGGAGAGCTGCGGCTCTCAGCTTCCGTTCACGAGGGCGTGAACTTGCAGGGAAGCGTGGTGGATTGTAAGCAACTAAAGGGAACGACTTGAGAGACGATCCATGAGGTTCAAATATAGAGGGAAAGGGCCCATGAATAAGAGTGCACCCCCTTTTCCAATCAGTTAAGGGTCTTGGGATATTTGGGGTTAAGCGTCCTTGGGTTTGAATAGTACTGGGCTGGGTGACCTCCCGGGAAGTCCAAACTCAGGAGCTTACAGCATTGTTCAAACCAAACGGCATCACCAATAACTCATACAAACCAAACGATGTACAAAAAGTAGTCTTAAGAATATCTTCTTCAACCATCG